GTCACAGGTGGGGAGACTGAGGCCTGGGCCTCCCAGAGATACAGGGTCACAGGTGGGGAAACTGAGGCCCAGGCAGAGATACACTGTCACAGGTGGGGAGACTGAGGCCTGCGCCTCCCAGAGATACAGGGTCACAGGTGGGGAAACTGAGGCCCAGGCAGAGATACACTGTCACAGGTAGGGAGACTGAGGCCTGGGCCTCCCAGAGATACAGGGTCACGACGCCATGTGTTGTGGCTTCTGCAGAATCCCATTGCCACAGGGGTCAGGAGAGACCACAGAACCAGCCTCAGGCCCCGGCTTGGAGCCTGACTCCGCTGCTCATGTGGGTGAGGAAACTGAGGCCCGGCCTGTGCCCTCACCGAGGCCAGCAGCTGACATGGCTGGCAGAGCAGCCTCCGCCCCCGCGCCCCCCGCCCCACCCGAGTCGTCTAGGTGCCCGTCCCAGAGGGCCAGGCTGGGAACACGGCTGCCTCCCGCACGATCTCTGCAGCTCTGCCCACTGCTGCACCCACAGCCCCTGGCAACGGCTGGGCCCACAGAGCACTCAGCATCCGCTGACAGACACACTCGGGGCACGGAAACCCCGCGTCCACACCCATCCTGCCGGAAGGAACACTGAGGTTTGGGGAAGGGCAAGGACTTGTCAGAAACTCCTGCCTCCTGCTGGACTCCCAGAACATTCCAGAAGCCCCAGAAGTGAGGAAGTGGAGCAGGAAAGGGTCCCACCCGTCCCCCGCGGCCGGCACGCACCGTTCTCCAGGGTGGCCATCCCACAGGACTTCCTCAGGCCGGTCTTCGGAATCTGGCTCTCCGTCACGCACCGGCCCAGCCGTGGGGCATGGTCGCAGCTGAGGGTCCCCATGGTGGGCAGGCAACGTCCCTGCAGCACCCACGGGGCCCGGTGCCACCTCCCGATCCCTCAAAGCTCTGGCAGCCACAGGCCCAGGCACCGTCCCCACCTTCACAGCCTCCCACACCCTGCCACCACCACGGCCACACAGACGGCCCCTTGTCCCGCCCCAGGGAGTCGCGGGGCCCTGGCCCGAGGCGGGCTGGTCGGACGGACACCGGCCTGGAAGTGGGGCCGGGATCAAGTGTCGGCCAGGAGAGAGTCCGGTGTCAGCAGTGAGTCTCCCGGGAGCAGGTGGAGCTGGGCCGCGAGGGCCAGGGCCGGCCCCGGGGAACTAAACCCACAAACATGACACCCACAGCCTCACCGCAGGAGGTCCTGGCGGGGTCAGGGCGGCGTGGCCCCGTTTCTGCACCGGGGTGCAGCCCACAGTCAGACAGCAAGCTCACCACTCTGGGAGCTGCAGCTCTGCGCCACAAAGCATTCACTTCCTCATCCTGTCACTCATCCATCCCACGCGCACTTACTGGGGACCTACTGTGTACCTGTCTCTGTTTGGGGTGGTGAGAATGGGACAGGAACAGACAGAAAGGCAGCAGCTGGGGCCGGGCGCGGTGGCTCACGCCTGTAATCCCAGCGCTTTGGGAGGCCGAGGCGGGTGGATCAGGAGGTCAGGAGATCGAGACCATCCTGGCCAACATAGTGAAACCCCGTCTCTACTAAAATCCAAAAATGCAGCCCCGTGGTGGCGGGCGCCTGTCGTCCCAGCAACTCGAGAGGCTGAGGCAGGAGAATGGCTCGAACCCGGGCAGCGGAGGTTGCAGTGAGCTGAGATCACGCCACTGCCCTCCAGCCTGGGGACAGCGAGACCCCACCCCTCCACCCCCCACAAAAAGGAAAAGAAGCAATGTTCTCAGGGTGAGAGGGAAAATCACCAGCAGGCGTGGTCCGCGGACGCCGTCTGGGGTGTATGAGGAGGTGCTGAGTGTGAGGGAAGGCAGGGCTGGGGCCCAGGGTGCTGGTGTGGGTGCAGCCGGAGTATCAGCGCCGGCCCCGCGGAGACCGTAACGCTGAACGCGTCCCACAGCAGGCGACGGGGGCAGCGTGCGGAGCCTGTGAGCAGCGCCTTCAGCGTAAGGGGACGCCTGGACACGGGCCCCGGGCGAGGGGAGAGCCGTCCCCACGGCCTCCCAGAAGCCTGTGGCATTTAAACCACAAATGGATTTCTTTTTTTTTTTTTTGAGACGGAGTTTCGCTCTTGTTACCCAGGCTGGAGTGCAATGGTGCGATCTCGGCTCACCGCAACCTCCGCCTCCTGGGTTCAGGCAATTCTCCTGCCTCAGCCTCCTGAGTAGCCGGGATTACAGGCACACGCCACCATGCCCAGCTAATGTTTTGTATTTTTAGTAGAGACGGGGTTTCACCATGTTGACCAGGATGGTCTCGATCTCTTGACCTCGTGATCCACCCGCCTCGGCCTCCCAAAGTGCTGGGATTACAGGCTTGAGCCACCGCGCCCGGCCACAAATGGATTTCAATTCACTGTGTGCCACGAAGAGGCTCGGGAAAAAACTGCTGAATGGGATTCACGTTCCCGTGCCTCTTCCTTGTTCATTCCTGTAGCTTTGGGACCCTTTCCTCTTGCGGTTTCTTTTTTTTTTTTTTTTTTTTTGATGGAGTCTCGCTCTGGGAGACAGATATGGGTTTGACCACGTTGGCCAGGCTGGTCTCAAACTCCTGACCTCAGATAATCCGCCCGCCTCGGTCTCCCAGAGAGCTGGGATTACGGGCGTGAGCCACCGCGCCCAGCCCCGCCGGGATCTTCTTGTCTGGTCATCTCAGCGTCTCGGTGAGAGAGGTGCTGGGAACCCTCATCTGTTGTTACAGGGGGGAAACTGAGGCTCGGGGGGCAGTCACATCCATCGAGTCCCTCAGTAACTCATCAGGGGATCCGGGACTGGGATCCGGGACTTGAACCCGGGGCTCTCCGACTCAGACTGAATATCAAAGCTTCGGGCTAAGTTCTCATCCCAGCGCAGCCTTCCAAAACACTCACTGTCACCGTGTGGATGCCGGCAGCGGTCAGTTCAAAACGCCGCAGCACACAGGCCCCGCACGGCCTCGTCCCCACCTCCCCCCGCCCTCTCGTCCTGTTCCCAGGCCCTCTACTGTTCTGGTCTGGCCGTCGGGGCCTGCCGGCTCTTCCTCCAGCCCCTAAGACGGTCTCCACCTCTGCCTCTGCCTGAGCTCTCTACCTGAGACGCTTCTGCAAGCAAACCAACCTCGCCGGCGCCTTCCTGGGTCTCAAGGGCCCCCAGCCACAGGCCCTGTCACCACCGACCCTGGACACGCCGTTTGCTGGTTTCCGGAGGCAGCACAACCTCCAGAGCCACAGCGGGGATGGGGGCTGAGGAGACAGAGAGGGAAAGACCCCGACCCCCTCCTCCTGCCAGTCAATGCTGCTCATTCACCAAAACCAGCCAGAAGTGCAGGAGCCCCGGGGCTCCCAGGGCAAGGGCCTAGGAGTTCTTCCCCCTCCGGACGTGGTGTCTCACGCCTGTAATCCCAGCACTTTGGGAGGCGGAGGAGGGTAGATCCCCTGAGGTCAGGAGATGGGATTCTGCAGAAGCCACAACACATGGCGTCGTGACCCTGTATCTCTGGGAGGCCCAGGCCTCAGTCTCCCTGGTCAACATGGTGAAACCCCGTCTCTACAAAAATACAAAAATTAGCCGGGCATGATGGTGGGCGCCTGTAATCCCAGCTACTTGGGAGGCTGGGGCAGGAGAATCTCTTGAACCCGGGAGGCGGAGGTTGCCGTGAGCCAAGATCACACTACTGAGCTCCAGCCTGGGCAACAAGAGTGAAACTCTGTCTCAAAAAAAAAAAAAGTTTTCCCTCAACCCCATCCCATCTCACATCCAGGTCACCAGGCCCAGGCCACATCAGCCACTAAGGGCCAACAGCCAGAGACCTTGGTTCCAGCAGGCACTCGGCCCTGACTGACTCAGTTTCCCCTCTGTGCTATCAGCTGTGACACCTGCCTCCCCTGCAGGAACAGAACCCTCCAACCAGGTTCCAGCCAGGACCCGGCCGCACCTGCCTCATTTTACCGGGGTGGAGCCGAAGGCTAACACGGGGGAAGACAGACAGGATGGCAGGCCCGCCACGCCGACAGGCTCACCCGACCGAGCTTGCAAATGAGATGCAAATGAATTCAACACATGCAGATGAGCCCTGATTTTAATCCTGTCTGAACCACAAGAGAGACTAAATACCGACAGTGAAAAAGGGGCGGCTGGAGTGGGTGAGAGGCGGGGTGCCTGCCCCGCGCCCCCCTGCCTGGCTGCCGGCCACCACTGCCAGGCCTCGGTGTCCGGGAGGTGACGCCGTCGGCGTTCCCGAGAGTCTTGTTCTCGCCATCACTGGGAATTCAGCCGGCGTTTGGGGCCGGGCCCCGCTCAGGAAAACGGAAAGAGAAAAAAACACACAAGTTCCGGCCGGGCGCGGTGGCTCACGCCTGTCATCCCACCACTTTGGGAGGCCGAGATGGGTGGAGCACAAGGTCAGGGGTTCGAGACCAGCCTGGCCAAGGTGGTGAAACCCCGTCTGTACTAAAAATACAAAATTAGCCGGGCGCAGTGGTGGGTGCCTGTAATCCCAGCTACTCGGGAGGCTGAGGCAGGAGAATCGCTTGAACCCGGGAGGCGGAGGTTGCGGTGAGCCGAGATCACGCCATTGCACTCCAGCCTGGGCGACAGAGGGA